GGGGGGAGAGAAGGGCAATAGGACCGAGAAAAAAACACCATTTATCAAGCAATAACGTCCCAAAACACTTCAGGTGAATCACGTTTCAAGGTACGAAATAAAGGCAGTGCCCTCCTAGTTAAATTTAATTTCAAACGTCTAGTAGTGGGTTTCAAACGTGCATTATAAAATGTGACTGATACGATATTATAAGAAATAAATTCGAACTCCAGTTGCGAGTTGCCAATTACCATGACAACCAGCAATTTAACTGGCAGAAACAGGGTAATTACTTGGCCAGTGACGCTTTAAGTGGGTAGGAAAATTGCAGCTTGTCAAAAATTTGGGTCCTTTGAATATTTAGGCTGATTCGGATTCGGGTAAGAATGCACATAAATTTAGAAAAAGTAACAAAATTTAGTACGCTTTCACCGGCAAATAATACTGTGAGCCAGTTAATTGAAGGGAAAATTTTCAAAGCTACGGTTAAAAGGAATAATAATTCTATCGATACCTATTAGTTAAAGACCAACTCAATAAAATGGGAAGGGAGCAAATGAAAAAATGTCAACAGTTATATTAGTAAACTACTTAATAATTAATTCAGTAGTAGTAGCGGAATTCAGCAAATGAAAAGTACGTCGAACGGCCGAAAATATCATATGAATATAAAACAGAGTGCTTGGGTGAGTTTAAATAGCTTAAATGGCAAGTCAAAGACGCAAACATGAAAATCATAATACAGTTTTTGGAATTAAAATATTTTAGGGAGTTATTAAAGAAATTCGTGCTTAGATTAACGCAAAAAGAGCTAATTACTGTCATGAGAAATAACATGTCAGTGGCTTGTTATTTCGCCGTCTCTAGTGGCTGAAAAATGAGGCTAAATGGTTGTATCAAAATTAATTTTCGAAATACTGTATAGGTTCTTCTTATGTCGAATTACAATAAATAACACTGTGAAGTAGAATAAAATGAGAAGCTACTAGGAGAGGCGAAATCTGCAGGACACATAATAAATCAATCATTTAAGCTGAACTTCAAAACAGTACAATTTAGTGAACATAGATCACTATCTGCCAAAATCTCAGTAAACGATATTAAAATATTAAGGAATAGTTCTGACAGCAGTTTTGGCAAAGCGCTAAGGTCTTCCCCTTTCAACTGAATAATTTTAAGGCCAAGACAGGTAACCTGATCATCATCATCATCATCATCAAATGTATGGAGGGGATTATAGGTATCACAACACCCTAGTTCCACTTCCCTACTCGACCCTCGAAAAAAAGGTCGTGTGTGGCCGAGTTTGGAAAATAAAAACTACCCCAACCCAGTAGGTGACATGAGTCATCTCTTACGTATGGAGACACGGAGACAGGCAACTAGCTAGGACAGTCAGTCAGCGAAAAAAAACAACGCATATTTCATTTTCACTTGGCTCGTCTTGCCAAGTTGAATATTTGGTCAAAAGATGGAAATAGGTAGTGTGACGAAGAAGGACGACATAGTGGAAGACCGAATACTTTTTCTTTCTTGAAACTTGTCCGAATTTGTGCAGACATCAAGTCAACAGGTGTCGTCAATTGCGGTTATTCAAAGATCCTACCCTCAAAAACCGTGCATTATTCAGGTTTGAGATGGAAATAGACCTAGAAACAAGCCTCGAGACAACTAACAAAGAAACCAAATTTAAAGCGATTTTAAAAACGAACTTGGCTGCTAGCGCTCCATCAATAATGAAATAAAATATTGGGGAAATTCGTAACAGGGGAGATGGAGCGTTACAAAGTAAACAAAAAGAAAAAATAGTTCTCAAATAGACAGAAAGTGCAACTTAGTAGAACAAGTAAATAAAACTGAAATTTTTAGTGTAATTCTTACTAATTGTCATCGAATTCCATTGTTCGAAAAGAAATTTGCTTCAAATTACTATCAAATAGAGGAGTAATTGCTTATGGCACCCAAAATTGCCTTTATTGGAGAAAAATAAGAAAATTATTTTTATTTTTTAAGTTTAAACTCGAATGCGGACTTTTAAAATCTGGAGAAGTAATCACGTTTATTGTTTATTGAAAAGCAAACAATTTGTTAAACGATTTCAAGGGAACATTTAGAGATTGACGCTATTGACAACCAGATTTTCACCAGAAATGATTGGTCAGTTTCAAAAAACCATGATTTAGTGATAGGACAGATAAATTAGCATAAAGATATCACTTTTTTAAAAAAATCCCAGAAAACGCAAAACTTAGCAAATTGCAATTCACTTCATAATAGCTGTAAAAATTTCCCTTTACGGCCAATAATCGGCGCTTTGTTAAACCGTTAAAGGATAAAATGAGATCGATTTCAATAATACGTTCAAAATGCGATAATAAAACTATGAGCGATGAACTACATACACTACCGGTTTTCTGGTCGAAAGATCTTTAACTTTTAACAAAAGCAGAAACCAAAGGTTTAAGACAAAAGAATGCAAGTCCATCAAATCGTGTAAAGTACAAAAATGAAAGATGGAATAGGATACAACCAATACTGATCTTCAAAGCACACAAGGAATTCTTTTAAAAGAGCAAAAAAACAATACATTAAAATTAAGAGACCAAAGAAATTAGTATTGAAATAAAATACCTGATGTTAATCATTAAAAATGAACAAATAAATTTACGAGCGCAAAAAATAAAAGTTAAAAAGATCAGAACTTAAACGTACCTTAAATGTAAAAGGGTAACTATCCGGGCCAAGTTTTCGAACCAGTCGTTCCTGGAGCCTTGAGATTCTAGGTTGGGAGTTGTCATCGTCAAAAGTCCTTGTAGGGTAGACTAGTTTGGTGTTGAGAAATAAATCCCTATGCCAATTGATTCCATGAAATTCATCAAAATCCCGACAATGTCGAAAAGCACAGAGCAAGTGAATATAAACCTTGCGACCTTTTACATATTCTGGATCAATTAATACAACACCCTCTAAAAAAAGAAATAAAGGAAAGAAATGTAATTCCTTCACATATTGAAAAATAGATCAAATCAGCAAAACAGACCGATAGGATCAACATGAGTCAAATGATCAATAAAGTCACGTTTCCCCAGATAGACAGTCACCTTTCCGTTTGGGGTAGACTTTTTAAAAATCCTAAGAGATGAATATAATCTTTTAACGTGTCTTACCGGGTTCCATGACGTTTTGAATCACTCATTTCAAATAAACTAAGTAAATGCGGGTGTTTGTGATATTTATCTAATAAAATTTGAGCTATATTATGAAACAGAGGATCAAACACTAATTTTTAGGTAAATAAATTCTCCGGCGTGTAGTTAAATCGAGCATCCAGAATGCAGACTGAGGTTATGAACAGTTAATGCACGCGTTAATAAGGTCGATTAAAAATTCATTGATATAGACAAACACATCTATGATAAAATTGTTCAATAATACATTTATGTTTAAATTATAAAATAATTAATTTCATTATGTGATTTATCTATCTTACGGTGTGTGCTAACTCAACAGAAATTTTTGATTATTTTGAATATTTATTCCTAGATCTTCTCACATTTAGTGAATGTATTCATTAATGCTTGTGAATTTATTGATTAAAAAACTGAACAAGATTTCATCTGGAATCTTATTAATCTGTTAATATTTTCTTTAAAAATTCGACATTTATCTAGACCTAGTGCACATGTCTAAAATTTAGCTTAGGGAGGCTTAAAATGAGCATGCATTCTTCAAAATTACTAAAATGAATTATATTACTTGGTAAATTCTTAACAGAATTTCATAGTTTAGTGGAAATAAAAATCATCCATTTACACGCGGTTTAGTACACCATAGAAATTATTTTGTATTATGCATTTTTCCTGTCTTACATAAAAGATTATTGAAAAATTTTTCTTATTCATGCCCTCAATTTGACCTACTTGAAATATGAAAATTTGTAGCTTTCGCAGGTAATTATTTCTAATTGTTTCCAAATCGAAAATAATAAATATCGCAAACAGATCGCATTGATACGACGCAGTAAAGTGCTCTGAGCGGTTTGAATTTCGGCTATAAACCTAACTACAATGCATAAAGATGACCGTAGAAATCTGCATATTCGCAGAAATTTTCGTATTAAGGTTGCATGTGCTCTGCTTTGTAAAAAATGTTCATGGAGACATCGATTAAATAGATGATGTTAATTTTTTAATCCATTTCATGTAAGTGAAAAGTCCAACAAACTGACGCGATTTATAACTTCTATTATAAATGCTGATATATATGGATGCCGTTACTATAGTCAAGGTTTAAATCCGTACAATTTTCTGCTATAAATCCGTAACGAAATTGAGATTTCGATTATAGGAGTATTTAACATGTTCTTTGCGAATGAGCATCATTCCTAAATCTTTCCAATTAATCCCATCACAAACTTCAGGGAATGCTAGAAATTATCTGAATTCTCATTATTTAAGAAGACTTGACATACATGTTGTCTAATGTTCAGATCTGTATTTTGCAGGCCTCTGACAAAATAATTTAGCTTCCATTCATGGTGGTTTCATGCAAGTTGTCTCACGTAAGTGTATTAGTTTATACAACAAAAAACCATCGTCGTTTATTCATATGTTCATGGCATTTGATAGCTTTGCAACTGTCCGTTGCGCGGAAACTGAAACGATATATTTGCCATCGAATGTTTGTTAATCACACCAATAACGTATTTGGAGATCTTTTCAGTGGGATGAAGGAGCATAGCCTTTGTCTCTCCTCCCCATTCCAAAATACCCGCCCACACGATATGATTTTAATTTCTTATTAGTTGTTTAGTTTCATATTAAAAATTTTCTTCAAGGCATTGAACTTTGTCTGACTTACATGCGACTTAATTAAGTAATCTGTTTATACCATTAACCCCGCTCCTCCATTTTACAAGTTCATAAATCGGCGCAAGCTTAATAATGAAAATAAGAAAGGCGATCAACTGATTTGGTATCAGGTATTATGGGGTGTGTGATAGACCTACCTCCACGAGGTGCACCCTGGCCAACGCTTACTCACACGGCTATAAAGTCTACTAATCGACAGTTGACTTCTGACTTCAAACTACCATCACTCCACTGTACCCCCGTACTCTCCTCACCTCTTTTATACCTTTGTATCTGTCACTTTTAAATCTTTGAAACACTCTTCTGTTCCACCCTCCTCTCGACTTTTTTCACTTTGATGTTCCTTCCCCTCTTTGAAGCCTGAGGTCAACTAAAGGACTAATGGTAACTATCAAAACACATGCCATTCGATATAAATAAATTAATAAATGTCAGATGTCATGCCTGAAATTTTAATCAAATCTCGTTAAAGTGTGAAATCATACAGAAATTTTAATAAATTTAAATATTACAGTAGTTCATCTATATCTTTATAGGTTAATGGTTGCAATATTCTATTTTCTTCTGATTCCTTATTGTCTTATATGTTTGTGGGGTTTCCATTTATAACTGTTTAGACTATAAAATTCATACTTTCGGTCTTAAAAGATGCTAATTAATTATGCATGTATCGGGGTTTTCCAAAAGTCTACCCATCCGAATAAGCGCCCGTGAACGCTTTTTCTGATGGGTGGTTATTTGT